TTATGTCTGAGTTGATGGGTGACATGTCATTGACTGGGTTCAAAGGGATGGAGGGCCCACCCATTGGAGTGCTGGTCACTTTTGGGTCTCCATTGGTGACTGTGCTCATGTAAGTGAAGCTTGAAAGAGGGGATACAGCCGGGAGAGATGTTGAGTAGCTACTGAGCATCAAGACCACCAATGACATACTGGGACGCTCCAGTGGGTCATGTTGGATACAAAGTAGTCCAATGTGGATGTGCCTCAACACTTCTTCAGCTGAACAACCATCAGCTATGCCTTCGTCGAGCACTTGTACTGGGTTCCCTTCTTCCCAATGCCGCCAAATCTATAGAAATATTCCAGATAAGGTAAAATTATGGAGAAGCTAATGATAAAGGAGCATCAAAGTAGATAACCAGAATGTAGATATAAAAGGTTATGCTGATTCTTACATAGCTTATAAGGTCAGTTGGAGGATTAGAGCCATAGTAGCCGGCACATCTTTTACCCGTCACTATTTCCAAAAGTAGGACGCCAAAGCTGTACACATCTGATTTTGTAGAGATTTGCCCATGCATCACATACTCTGGTGCCATGTAGCCACTTTCACCAGTAGATAATGTGTGTCAAGTTTTCGGATGATAGATAGTAATCAAATTTACATTGATCGCGATCTTTTACAAAGATAATACAATTGTGAAAAGTTGGTTTAAATCTACATCCGTAAATGTACTGCCAGTGAGTATGAAGTAATGAAAGATTCCTACATGGATACATATAGAAGTGATTGTCTTATACAGATAATGCTACTCGTCTTTACCACACTTTGCAGACACCCTTCTTTTCTTTCTGTTTCATGGGTACCACAACCAAGGAAAGCTTCCTCTGATATCTAACTAATCTAGTATACATTCCGACTTGAGCTCATTTTCTAGACTCATCTCTTCTAGTTGTGGACTTCACTTGGGTTCACTCTATTGACAATATGTATATATATACACACGCACACACACACACACACACACATACATAACACCCACACAAATACAAAATTATGAAACCATTAAACTTGTAACAAAAATGTTGAATTACAGCGAAGTTGGTGCATCGGTCGTGCAGACTTACTATGTTCCGGCAATTCGGTTTGTGTTTCCATAGCTTTGTTCATTTCCAAATAACCTTGCAAGGCCGAAATCAGCAATCTTCGGATTCATCCCTTCATCCAACAATATGTTGCTTTAACATCTAATTAAAGTCCAGATGAATGGTCTGGCTGAGACGAAGGGCCATCGAAGGCGCGAAATTAATATTTTCATATTAACGGTCATATTCTTCGACATAGCCCGCCACGGAACCGAGCCCTCCGAGTGGCCCCCCACACGGTTCTCTTGAAATCTTTTGCGACCGCCGCGCGGTGTATCGTTGAATCTCGTTGAATCGTCGTATTTTAAGGTTGCTGGTAGTATTGTTTGACTTAGTCCTTTGTGGAATTGAGCCACGCCTACACGGCTCCTGTTGACTTTGACCTAGATCTTTAGTAGCCAGCTAATCGTCTCTTAGTCGTCGTCATCAAGTTACCGTAGTGAGTTCAGGTCGATCCGCACACAAAGAAGATAACAAACCTGATGATAATTTCTTTCGTTCTCCAAACAAATTTAAGTCTAAATAAAAATAAAAATAATGAAACGAACTGCTGAGAGAGAGTGAGAGTAGAAAACATATTCTGGGCATTATCGGCCACAGTTAATATGATTAATTATTGATTCTTTCTGCTCTCGATCCTAAGTCTACAAGAAAACTTAAAAAGAAAGAGAGGGAGGGAGAGAGAGAGAGATTATATTAATCAAACCTACACGTGCTCTTGGACAGCAACGACTCAATTATATTTATCTCAATTAAAAATGACACAACAGATGAGAAGGGTTGAAAATTTTACCACCATTAAATAATTATGAAAAATGATATTTATCTCAATTAAAAATGACACAAGAGATTGAGAAGGGTTGAAAATTTTACCACCATTAAATAGTTTTCAATAAACTAAATCTCTTCCCTGGAAAAATAATTTAGTAACATTTAGTAACCACCATCGTTACCAGCATTCTTGTAATTACATCAGCTTTCTTTGAAAATGAAGTTGCCAAACATATCCAAGATTAACTTGTAATTACCTATAACTTTACTTATATGCCACTAATAGTACTCATGGTACCAACAACAAAAGAGACCCTACATATTGCTGATATTTTTAATTTGTGTACTGATAACTCTCATTAATTACAAGATAAAATGCTTAATATTTTATTATTTAATTTTAAATAAGTATTTTAAAATTACTTTAATCTAGAAAAACTGATATTAAACTTATTTATATGATTATATAGTTATTTTCTAGAAATTACATGATGAAATTGACCATGAAATATTTTGATAGGTTTTAACAATGAATAATATTATTATCAAAATACTTCTATGTTAATTACATTTATTTCTAAAATTTTCTTGACTTTTCCTAAGCTTATTAGAATAAATAATATTAATAATACAATTAAATTAAAATATGAGATTAATTTCTTTTTATAGGTTTGCCTCATCAATGGATGTAACAAATACAATGTGAAGTATGGCAGATGATTCGACGAAATCAATGGAACTAACACACAAGAAGGAAACACTAGGGGAGGAAGAATGGGGCATCTTCGATCAATCTATTGCTCCTCACAACTATTTTCTCTCTCCTTTGATGGTGACGGATGTTGGATTCACCCAAATCATCCATCCAATACAAAGGATGGATTTCGTCTCAATTTATCCTTGATTCAGCCACTAAAGAAGCTGAACTTCATCCACAAACTTATCCCCTTCTTTACTCGATACAAAAAGCAAAGAATTTCTTCTGATGATCCTTCTTCGGACGCTACGGCACACTCAGTGTCAAACCACCGCAGTCAATCAGTTCCAGCAAGTTACAAAGAGGCATCAAAATTGACACCCAAAATGTGGCTCCAAAGGTTATGATGATTCTTACATAGCTTATAAGGTTGGTTGGAGGATTAGAGCTATAGTAGCCGACACATCTTCCGGTTGTTACTATTTCTAAAAGTAGGATACCGAAGTTGTATGATAAGTCTTCATTATCATGAGTTAATAATTAGTAAATAATATAGTTTTAGCCTTAAATCATGATAAATAGACTTATATTTGTGTTAAAATGTAAAAAGTGGTTTTCAATTAATTAACATTAATTTTTGGCTAATTATGTGATTTTATATGAATTTATATAATTTTTGTAGTCTTATTTTTGAGATTAAAAAAAAAAAAGCAAAATGAGGGGGGACCTACCAGCCAATTGGGCCCACAAGCTGGTTAGAAGCATAGTTAGGGGAGGAGTCATGAGTAGGGGCTCAAGTGGCTAAGATCGATGGGGGCACGTGTGCGTCACTCTCCTTCCACGTCACTAGTGGTTAGTTGGCTGTGGGGCAAGGAGTAGTCAAATAGGAGAGAGAAAGGGACTCATTACTTACAAATATAATATTACTATATATTCGCCCGAAACTTGCAAGTGATGAAGGATTAAACCCGTGTCACAACTTCTCCCAGAAGGCTTTGAAGATTTTAATACCTAAAATACCCCTTATTTATAACAGAGATATACTATGATGACGTCACTTAATAAAGGCATTAGAGTACTTATTGCAATCTCTCTCATGTAGGCGGACAACCGATGCGGGTTTGAATCCTCCTAGAGCCAAAAGTTGTATTTTTATCTGATTATCGTGACTTTCCTGCAGATCGCTAGTGAAGGATTAAACTGCTAGAATTACTAGATCATCGGCAAAAATCTTAACAACATGATTCGTGGAGCATTATTACTAAAATTATTGAACGCTTCATGATAAAAGGATCGCAAATCCATCGAGTAAATCATCTCCGATTGATCGACAAATAAGCCGTCGTCGGGAAGAGGACGATCCACCAAGAGATGAGTGGCCACCTCTTGAGAGCGTACCGAATGTGATGAAAAGCCTCCTCTTGCTACGTGGACTTAAGGATGAAGCTCTTTGACACGTGCCCAACCTCCATCCAGCTCCTCTCTATCGGGTGATAGCCACCAAAGAGCCGCAAAGTCACTATTTTTTCGCTCTGCCGGGTGACAGTTGTCGAAGACGATTCGACGACCCATTTCGTTGATTTCTAGACTTCACAGGGAGATCTAGAGATTGCCCATGTCGTCCTTGTCCAAGGAAAACCTTCAAGGTTGTGGACACTACATGATGATCTTTCAGAATGCTAAGAATTTTGGTCCATCATCAATGCATCGCCACCGTGACGTCAGAACTTTGTTTTTTAACTTTCAACTTAATTTCTACTTTATTTAGTAATAATTTGTGTGATTTAAATTTATTAAGCTATACTTCATTCAATTATGATTCTTTTGGCTTTTATAGATCTTAATTTGATCAATTAAATTGTATGTAATTACTTATGTAAGAATCGTCAAGTGGAACTTTGTTTCCTCTTTGCCCGCCTTGCTTCAAGTGGTTATGAGCCTTAAGCTCATGATTTTTCACCTAAGTCTCGAATGTAACCTTGGTTCTTTGAAAACTTGTGAACTTATGCTTAACATTTGAAGCACAAACAATGAGAAAACTAAGAATTACATCATATTCTCACATGATGTACATCAAGTATCTAAAAATACATAATTCAATGAGAAACCAATGAAATACATAAAATGTGTCTGAATGCTAATGCATGCCATAATCATTTGAACTCATTAGTAAATCAATGAATTTGTGTCCTGAAATCATGAGACTTGATGCAATATACCTTGCACATAATGCATTATTTATGCGTTATCAATAACCATGGTTCTTTGAGAATCGATCCATGAATTGATCATTTTTCAAGAAGGGAATTGGGTCTTTTTTTCAAGAAAAAGAGTTGAGTTCACAATTATCACAATTACATGTTATTTTAAAAAACATTCAGAGTCTAAACATGACATTGCTCACAAACTAGCGAGGCTCTAATGTGGTTATGTCTGAGTTGATGGGTGACATGTCATTGACTGGGTTCAAAGGGATGGAGGGCCCACCCATTGGAGTGCTGGTCACTTTTGGGTCTCCATTGGTGACTGTGCTCATGTAAGTGAAGCTTGAAAGAGGGGATACAGCCGGGAGAGATGTTGAGTAGCTACTGAGCATCAAGACCACCAATGACATACTGGGACGCTCCAGTGGGTCATGTTGGATACAAAGTAGTCCAATGTGGATGTGCCTCAACACTTCTTCAGCTGAACAACCATCAGCTATGCCTTCGTCGAGCACTTGTACTGGGTTCCCTTCTTCCCAATGCCGCCAAATCTATAGAAATATTCCAGATAAGGTAAAATTATGGAGAAGCTAATGATAAAGGAGCATCAAAGTAGATAACCAGAATGTAGATATAAAAGGTTATGCTGATTCTTACATAGCTTATAAGGTCAGTTGGAGGATTAGAGCCATAGTAGCCGGCACATCTTTTACCCGTCACTATTTCCAAAAGTAGGACGCCAAAGCTGTACACATCTGATTTTGTAGAGATTTGCCCATGCATCACATACTCTGGTGCCATGTAGCCACTTTCACCAGTAGATAATGTGTGTCAAGTTTTCGGATGATAGATAGTAATCAAATTTACATTGATCGCGATCTTTTACAAAGATAATACAATTGTGAAAAGTTGGTTTAAATCTACATCCGTAAATGTACTGCCAGTGAGTATGAAGTAATGAAAGATTCCTACATGGATACATATAGAAGTGATTGTCTTATACAGATAATGCTACTCGTCTTTACCACACTTTGCAGACACCCTTCTTTTCTTTCTGTTTCATGGGTACCACAACCAAGGAAAGCTTCCTCTGATATCTAACTAATCTAGTATACATTCCGACTTGAGCTCATTTTCTAGACTCATCTCTTCTAGTTGTGGACTTCACTTGGGTTCACTCTATTGACAATATGTATATATATACACACGCACACACACACACACACACACATACATAACACCCACACAAATACAAAATTATGAAACCATTAAACTTGTAACAAAAATGTTGAATTACAGCGAAGTTGGTGCATCGGTCGTGCAGACTTACTATGTTCCGGCAATTCGGTTTGTGTTTCCATAGCTTTGTTCATTTCCAAATAACCTTGCAAGGCCGAAATCAGCAATCTTCGGATTCATCCCTTCATCCAACAATATGTTGCTTTAACATCTAATTAAAGTCCAGATGAATGGTCTGGCTGAGACGAAGGGCCATCGAAGGCGCGAAATTAATATTTTCATATTAACGGTCATATTCTTCGACATAGCCCGCCACGGAACCGAGCCCTCCGAGTGGCCCCCCACACGGTTCTCTTGAAATCTTTTGCGACCGCCGCGCGGTGTATCGTTGAATCTCGTTGAATCGTCGTATTTTAAGGTTGCTGGTAGTATTGTTTGACTTAGTCCTTTGTGGAATTGAGCCACGCCTACACGGCTCCTGTTGACTTTGACCTAGATCTTTAGTAGCCAGCTAATCGTCTCTTAGTCGTCGTCATCAAGTTACCGTAGTGAGTTCAGGTCGATCCGCACACAAAGAAGATAACAAACCTGATGATAATTTCTTTCGTTCTCCAAACAAATTTAAGTCTAAATAAAAATAAAAATAATGAAACGAACTGCTGAGAGAGAGTGAGAGTAGAAAACATATTCTGGGCATTATCGGCCACAGTTAATATGATTAATTATTGATTCTTTCTGCTCTCGATCCTAAGTCTACAAGAAAACTTAAAAAGAAAGAGAGGGAGGGAGAGAGAGAGAGATTATATTAATCAAACCTACACGTGCTCTTGGACAGCAACGACTCAATTATATTTATCTCAATTAAAAATGACACAACAGATGAGAAGGGTTGAAAATTTTACCACCATTAAATAATTATGAAAAATGATATTTATCTCAATTAAAAATGACACAAGAGATTGAGAAGGGTTGAAAATTTTACCACCATTAAATAGTTTTCAATAAACTAAATCTCTTCCCTGGAAAAATAATTTAGTAACATTTAGTAACCACCATCGTTACCAGCATTCTTGTAATTACATCAGCTTTCTTTGAAAATGAAGTTGCCAAACATATCCAAGATTAACTTGTAATTACCTATAACTTTACTTATATGCCACTAATAGTACTCATGGTACCAACAACAAAAGAGACCCTACATATTGCTGATATTTTTAATTTGTGTACTGATAACTCTCATTAATTACAAGATAAAATGCTTAATATTTTATTATTTAATTTTAAATAAGTATTTTAAAATTACTTTAATCTAGAAAAACTGATATTAAACTTATTTATATGATTATATAGTTATTTTCTAGAAATTACATGATGAAATTGACCATGAAATATTTTGATAGGTTTTAACAATGAATAATATTATTATCAAAATACTTCTATGTTAATTACATTTATTTCTAAAATTTTCTTGACTTTTCCTAAGCTTATTAGAATAAATAATATTAATAATACAATTAAATTAAAATATGAGATTAATTTCTTTTTATAGGTTTGCCTCATCAATGGATGTAACAAATACAATGTGAAGTATGGCAGATGATTCGACGAAATCAATGGAACTAACACACAAGAAGGAAACACTAGGGGAGGAAGAATGGGGCATCTTCGATCAATCTATTGCTCCTCACAACTATTTTCTCTCTCCTTTGATGGTGACGGATGTTGGATTCACCCAAATCATCCATCCAATACAAAGGATGGATTTCGTCTCAATTTATCCTTGATTCAGCCACTAAAGAAGCTGAACTTCATCCACAAACTTATCCCCTTCTTTACTCGATACAAAAAGCAAAGAATTTCTTCTGATGATCCTTCTTCGGACGCTACGGCACACTCAGTGTCAAACCACCGCAGTCAATCAGTTCCAGCAAGTTACAAAGAGGCATCAAAATTGACACCCAAAATGTGGCTCCAAAGGTTATGATGATTCTTACATAGCTTATAAGGTTGGTTGGAGGATTAGAGCTATAGTAGCCGACACATCTTCCGGTTGTTACTATTTCTAAAAGTAGGATACCGAAGTTGTATGATAAGTCTTCATTATCATGAGTTAATAATTAGTAAATAATATAGTTTTAGCCTTAAATCATGATAAATAGACTTATATTTGTGTTAAAATGTAAAAAGTGGTTTTCAATTAATTAACATTAATTTTTGGCTAATTATGTGATTTTATATGAATTTATATAATTTTTGTAGTCTTATTTTTGAGATTAAAAAAAAAAAAGCAAAATGAGGGGGGACCTACCAGCCAATTGGGCCCACAAGCTGGTTAGAAGCATAGTTAGGGGAGGAGTCATGAGTAGGGGCTCAAGTGGCTAAGATCGATGGGGGCACGTGTGCGTCACTCTCCTTCCACGTCACTAGTGGTTAGTTGGCTGTGGGGCAAGGAGTAGTCAAATAGGAGAGAGAAAGGGACTCATTACTTACAAATATAATATTACTATATATTCGCCCGAAACTTGCAAGTGATGAAGGATTAAACCCGTGTCACAACTTCTCCCAGAAGGCTTTGAAGATTTTAATACCTAAAATACCCCTTATTTATAACAGAGATATACTATGATGACGTCACTTAATAAAGGCATTAGAGTACTTATTGCAATCTCTCTCATGTAGGCGGACAACCGATGCGGGTTTGAATCCTCCTAGAGCCAAAAGTTGTATTTTTATCTGATTATCGTGACTTTCCTGCAGATCGCTAGTGAAGGATTAAACTGCTAGAATTACTAGATCATCGGCAAAAATCTTAACAACATGATTCGTGGAGCATTATTACTAAAATTATTGAACGCTTCATGATAAAAGGATCGCAAATCCATCGAGTAAATCATCTCCGATTGATCGACAAATAAGCCGTCGTCGGGAAGAGGACGATCCACCAAGAGATGAGTGGCCACCTCTTGAGAGCGTACCGAATGTGATGAAAAGCCTCCTCTTGCTACGTGGACTTAAGGATGAAGCTCTTTGACACGTGCCCAACCTCCATCCAGCTCCTCTCTATCGGGTGATAGCCACCAAAGAGCCGCAAAGTCACTATTTTTTCGCTCTGCCGGGTGACAGTTGTCGAAGACGATTCGACGACCCATTTCGTTGATTTCTAGACTTCACAGGGAGATCTAGAGATTGCCCATGTCGTCCTTGTCCAAGGAAAACCTTCAAGGTTGTGGACACTACATGATGATCTTTCAGAATGCTAAGAATTTTGGTCCATCATCAATGCATCGCCACCGTGACGTCAGAACTTTGTTTTTTAACTTTCAACTTAATTTCTACTTTATTTAGTAATAATTTGTGTGATTTAAATTTATTAAGCTATACTTCATTCAATTATGATTCTTTTGGCTTTTATAGATCTTAATTTGATCAATTAAATTGTATGTAATTACTTATGTAAGAATCGTCAAGTGGAACTTTGTTTCCTCTTTGCCCGCCTTGCTTCAAGTGGTTATGAGCCTTAAGCTCATGATTTTTCACCTAAGTCTCGAATGTAACCTTGGTTCTTTGAAAACTTGTGAACTTATGCTTAACATTTGAAGCACAAACAATGAGAAAACTAAGAATTACATCATATTCTCACATGATGTACATCAAGTATCTAAAAATACATAATTCAATGAGAAACCAATGAAATACATAAAATGTGTCTGAATGCTAATGCATGCCATAATCATTTGAACTCATTAGTAAATCAATGAATTTGTGTCCTGAAATCATGAGACTTGATGCAATATACCTTGCACATAATGCATTATTTATGCGTTATCAATAACCATGGTTCTTTGAGAATCGATCCATGAATTGATCATTTTTCAAGAAGGGAATTGGGTCTTTTTTTCAAGAAAAAGAGTTGAGTTCACAATTATCACAATTACATGTTATTTTAAAAAACATTCAGAGTCTAAACATGACATTGCTCACAAACTAGCGAGGCTCTAATGTGGTTATGTCTGAGTTGATGGGTGACATGTCATTGACTGGGTTCAAAGGGATGGAGGGCCCACCCATTGGAGTGCTGGTCACTTTTGGGTCTCCATTGGTGACTGTGCTCATGTAAGTGAAGCTTGAAAGAGGGGATACAGCCGGGAGAGATGTTGAGTAGCTACTGAGCATCAAGACCACCAATGACATACTGGGACGCTCCAGTGGGTCATGTTGGATACAAAGTAGTCCAATGTGGATGTGCCTCAACACTTCTTCAGCTGAACAACCATCAGCTATGCCTTCGTCGAGCACTTGTACTGGGTTCCCTTCTTCCCAATGCCGCCAAATCTATAGAAATATTCCAGATAAGGTAAAATTATGGAGAAGCTAATGATAAAGGAGCATCAAAGTAGATAACCAGAATGTAGATATAAAAGGTTATGCTGATTCTTACATAGCTTATAAGGTCAGTTGGAGGATTAGAGCCATAGTAGCCGGCACATCTTTTACCCGTCACTATTTCCAAAAGTAGGACGCCAAAGCTGTACACATCTGATTTTGTAGAGATTTGCCCATGCATCACATACTCTGGTGCCATGTAGCCACTTTCACCAGTAGATAATGTGTGTCAAGTTTTCGGATGATAGATAGTAATCAAATTTACATTGATCATGATCTTTGACAAAGATAATACAATTGTGCAAAGTTGGTTTAAATCTACATCCGTAAAGATACTGTTAGTGAGTATGAAATAATGAAAGATTCCTACGTGGCTACAGATAGAAGTCAGTGTCTTGTACATATAACGCTACTCGTCTTTACCACACTTTGCAGATGCCCTTCTCTTGTTTCTGTTTCATGGGTACCACAACCAAGGAAAGCTTCCTCTGATATCTAACTAATCTAGAGTACATTCCAACTTGAGCTCATTTTCTAGACTCATCTCCTCTAATTGTGGACAAACCATACTTAGGTTCACTTTGTTGAAAATTATATATATATGGAAGTTATGAAACCATTAAAATAGTACGAAATATACTAAACTATAGAAGAGTTGTTCATGTATCGGTTGTGCAGACTTACTATGTTCCAGCGATTCGATTTGTGTTTCCATAACTTTGTTCATTTCCAAATAGCCTTGCAAGGCCGAAATCAGAAATCTTCGGATTCATCCCTTCATCCAACAATATGTTGCCAGCTTTAAGATCTCTATGAACAATCTTCAGTCGAGAATCCTCATGAAGATAGAGGAGTCCTCGGGCAATTCCTTCTATGATCTTCACCCTCATCTCCCAGTGCAGTTCCTTGGATCTAAAGGAATCTACCATGCAGACACAATCTGATTAGATCTACAATCTGCATGTCTTGAATCACTACCATTTGAATGTAAGTTTTGTGAAAATAAATGAAATAAATAGTGAGGAGCTAATGATAAAACAAACTGATGAGACAATACTAAGATAGGAGAAAGCATCACATGTTAGAAGCATACCAAATAAAAATTTGTCGAGGCTTTTATTTGGCAGAAATTCGTATACTAGTAGCTTCTCTTGTGCTTGCAAGCAATAGCCCATCAATCTTACCAAATTACGATGTTGAAGTTTGGCCACTAAGGAAACCTCATTCTTAAGTTCTCCTATTCCTTGGTTAGAAGTTGTTAGAAGTCTCTTTACTGCTATAAGTTGCCCATCTTCCAACACTCCCTGCACAAATGATATGAATGTTAATTAAGGATCAATGAAAATTTTCAGAGGATACAGTCTTAGCTGAGATGATAATGCCAAAGATTACATGTAGATTTCAATGACAGTGCAAGGAGAAACAAAAGGATAAGTACCTTAGAACATATTAGTAGTTTGGTAAGGTTCAGGTTCAATGACTTGAGAATAAGAAATCACTTTTAATTTAGTGGTATACCTTATAGACAGCACCAAACCCTCCTTCACCAAGCTTATTCTGATCAGAGAAGTTCGTCGTAGCAATCTTTAATGTTTCTAGACTAAACTGCAAGGAATCTGCTTCATTGACACCGTCTTCGCTTCTTCCAACCGCTGAACATAACATTGGTAAAACTCCACATAAGTCAAAATATATAGTCGGCGGAAGAATACTTCAAATTTCGAATCAAGCACTTACCAATTAGTGAATCCATTTGGCGTCAGATTTTTGTATGATAAAATGATGGTATAAATGGTTGGGAACTTACCAGCAAATTTTGGTAGTCTTTTCCTCCGTATGCAAATCCATATGATAGCCATAAATGCGAAGAAACCAATGACCGCGACGGCAACTCCCACAGCTATTGCCACCGTGTTGTTGTTTTTATCTGCCAAAGAAAGTATTGACGGTTCAGGATTCACTTTAGTGAATTTTTTACGTTTATTTATTATTTCACTTCACAGCTGAAGTTCTTTTTTCTGACACTGTAAAAATAAAAATCTGAACTTATCATGTAGAAGTAAAGAAATAGATCGAGCAGGGACCGTCAGTATGAGTGTGATGACGCCGGAGAACCTCAATGAGCCTTGGCTCATTTCTTCCGCTCCATAACAGAAAAAGAAGAAAATTCACTGCCGAAATTCGATTACCCAAAAAAAAAAAGCACCCTTCTGGGCATTCCCTGCCATCATCCCCGGCCCAAGCAGCAGCTAGTTAAAAAGGAAGAGGGAACCTGCGGCTAGGCGGCGTAACTCCCGCTCCCCCCATTCACTCTCTCTCTGCTATCTCGTTGCCCCCTGCCGAACTCATGCTCAAGTCTCTTCTTCTCTCTGGGCTTTCTTTGCAAGTATCTTTCAAAGTCCTAGATGAAGCAATGGAGGAAAAACGGAAAAAAAATAGAAACAGACTTAGCTTTTACCTGCTGCAGCGGTGGTCCCTACAGGCGGCGGAGACATGTTAGCTGGTACGGAAGGGGGAGGAGGAGGCGCTGGCGGGTCGGCGGCGGCGGAGGGATTAAAGAAGGGAGCTACTTCGTACCGGAGGTAACAGCTCCCACCGATCACTCTCGCCCCTTTTTTTGCCTCACAGCACTGGGGAATATAGCTGATCTCGTCCATTAGACAAGTGTTGCAGGTCTCCGGCGCTAAATCTCTGGTGCACTGGACAAGCGCGTATATCTTCTGGAAGCTGGTGAAGTCCACCACTCCGGTGGCGAATCTCCTCTCCGACGAGGAGGCGCGTATGGTCAGGTTGTCCAGGAGCTCCCCCAATAGGCGGTCGAAGGTGGGCACGTCCGAGACGTTTCCCGTGTTCCACATGGAGATTTCCGTCCCCGTAGACGAGCCGAAGAAGTTCTGGCCGGAGTAACGCAGGTGGCAGAACTCGTAGAAGATGGTGGCGCCCTTATTTCCGGGGCATCCCGCTGCGGCGTCCCTGGCGACGCCGGCGAGGCAGTCCCGGCACCTGCTTGCGGCGACGTCCCCTCGGCATATCGCGAGGCCATAAACCCTGTCGGGGACCTCGCCGGCAGTGTCGTTGGCGAAGCCGGTGGCGGGGGCCGACGAAGAGAGGGAGGAGATGAGGCGACCGAGGTTGGCCTGGTAGGTGCTGTTGCTCGTGTAGTTTGTTTTCTTATTGCATAAACTGTAGATGGGTTCGCCGGCTGCGGAACCGAGGAAGAGAGAGCCCATCATCAGGATGAGAGAGCACACGAGAAGGAAGGAAGCCATGTACGCCGCAGTCGTGCTCCCCGGGGAATGAGAGGTGCAAAGAGAACTCCTAGTGAAAATACTGTTTTTAATGGTCGGACAGAGACGACGAGGACCACATCGACAACGCGATATTTATATTTTAATATTGATGGCCGTCTTGTCTGACTCATTTCAAACGGAGTACCCCGCGTGGCCCCACACGGTTCCCGTTGATTCTTTGGTGGCCGCCGTGCCCGCCCTCTGAAGATGTCAACGTCACTTTGCTACGTGGGCCCCCTCCATAATTAAGAACTTTCTTCTGCTTGCAAGTAGTACCCCATCAGTCTTACCAAATTACGATGTTGGAGTTCGGTCACCGTTAAAATCCTACAACTTTGAAAGAACAGATCTGATTTATCCAATAATTAGACTGTAACTTTATTTAAAATATTAGATCAAAATCTAAGACAGGATATATGGATCATCAAATCGATGAATTTGGACTATCTTCTGTTCACTCAATGACAATTTGTAAGAGAGATTTGAAATCAGATCAGAAATCACTAAAAATGGACAAGTCAATGGTACCTTGATATGGGGAAATGTAATACCACGATTGCTGGCTTGTAGACCTCAAGATTGATCTTCAATGATTTCATAAAATATTGGAAGATGAAAGGAAAAGGTAAAAAGGGTGAATGATGGAATGAAAATGGTGGTTGACCCTCACAGCCTCCCCAAGGATTGGGCATTGACCATCATATCCTCTCCTTAGGGAGCAATTGGCCCTATTGGTCTTCCTCTAAGAAAATGAAAAAAATTAAAGATAAATTCTCTAATATTTCATTAATTTCTCCAAAATAATACAAAAAATCTTTTTACAAATGAAATTTAGGAGTACTTAAGAAAGATTGTAAAAGTTAGGTAGTTGATGCCTCCTAGTTGACTACCTTGGCATGTTTGACCCTCTCAATGGATGCCTTGTGAAATACTTTAATCCTTAATGTAATTTTGATTCTTGATCAAAGGTTAGATGCTCCTCTTCAATCCCATGAGTTGTGCTCCAAGAGGTTACTTGGGTACTTATAGATCTCAATTGAGACCAATCACATCCATAGATGCTTGGACTGTTGACCCTATCAAATTATCACTTAGAAAAGGAGGATTAGGCCTCAATCCAAGATCAACAAGAGGTTATTTGATGAATGAAATTAGAACTTTCAATATAAATAAAATTAAACCCAAAACATGATATGTATGAATACTTAAATATAGTTTAGTTAAACTTAAACTAATTTGGATTCTCTGACTAAAAACTTAATTACGCTTTAAAGGTGGTGGACCACCTCACATAGTACATGCACAGATGGTGTTGAAGACACATGACTAGAGATCAAAGTTGACTCTCTACATGCAAGCCTATGGATGGAAGATAAGTCACATTTGAGATGACGAAAAGGGTAACATTTGTGGGTATGGAGATATTTCTTCAAATGATAAATCTCTTGTTAAAGATATCTAGCTTGTTGATTGATTAATGCATAATCTAATCAACATTAATTAACTTTGTGATAATGACATGACATCTATGAGATTGAAAGCTTAGAACTTGGTGACAACATCATGAGGCTTTGAAGAAGATCAAAAAATGGAGAAAATTAATTTTATTTTTATTTTAATAAATTAGTTAGAACCAAAAAGTTGATATTGAGATAAACAATCATCCTTATGGACAACCTGAATCCACCATTTTAACTTTAATTCTTGTTTTAAAATAGGTTTGTAAATATGTGAAATTTGATCATTTTGTTTATAACAACCAGAATTGATATTGATAACATCATTTTTTTCTCCATAAGAAATTTCTTCTCCTCTACATTGTAACAATAAAATTTCATGAAATGGTGCTGAATCCTCATGGATACCTTCTTTGTGAGAATGGGTCCATGAAAGATTCATTTCTCACAAAAGGTGTTGGGTCTCTTTTACAATTAGAAGAGTTGTGCTTACAAGTCGCATAATTAAAAGGTTTTTTTAAAAAAAGGTTAAGAGCATAAACATGAGATCCTGAAGGAATGGCTCAAGAACAAGAGAGTTCCAACATGCTGGTGTCCGAGTTGATGGTTGACGTGCAATTTATTGGAGGCCGAGGCATGGAGCGCTCGCCCATTGTACTGCTGGTCACTCCTATGTCTTCACTGGTGCTTGTACCCACACAAGTAAAGCCTGAAAGCGGGGATACAGCCGAGAGAGATGGAATGGCAGATGAGCATCACGATCACGAAGGAGATATTGGGACACTCCAGTGGGTCCGGCTGGATGCAAAAATTAGTCCAATATGTAAAAATTAGCTCAACACTTCTGCCAAACAACCATCAGCTGTACGTTTGTTAAGCATTTGTACCGGGTTTCCTTCCTCCCAATGCCGCCAAATCTATAAAATATGCCAGATAAAGTAAAATTGTGGAGAAGCTCACACAAAGGGGCGTCACAATAGTTACCCATTACGCGCAGCTTTAAAGGTTATAATCATCTTACATAACGTGTGATTAGTTGGAGAACTAGAACCATAGTAGCCCGCACATCTTCTATCCATGACTATTTCAAAAAATAGGATGCCAAAGTTGTACAGATCTGATCTCGTAGAGGTCTGCCCGTGCATCACTCATTCTGGTGCCCTATAGCCACTTTCACCAGTAGACAACATGTGTCAAGTTTTCTGATGATTGATTATTATCAAATGCACATTGATCATGATCTTTCACAAAGCTAATACGACATTGAAAATTGGGTCTAAAGTTACATCCGTAAAGGTATTGTCAGTGGGTTTGAAATGGTGAAAAACCCTTGCATGGCTACATTAGAAGGTACGGTCTGGTACGCATAATGCTACTCCTCTTCACCAAACTCTCCAGATGTCCTCTCACTTCTGTTTCATGGTTACCACAGCTAAGTAATGGTCCCTCTGATATCAAACTACTCTAGTATAAGCTCATTTTCTTTACGTATCTCTTCTAACATGGACTAAGAAGACTTGTAGTTCAGTCTGCTGACAGATGTATATACATAAATGCAAATATATAAAGCAATTAATCTTGTACCAACAACATTAAATAACAAGGAGGTTGTTCTCATATTGGTTATGCAGATGTACTATGATTTGGCAATTCGATTTGTGTTTCGATAAGTTTGTTCATTTCCAAATAGCCTTGTGAGGTGGAAATCAGCAATCTTCGAATTCATCCCTTCATCCAACAATATGTTGCTAGCTTTTAGATCTTTATGAACAGTCCTCAGTCGAGAATCTTCAAGAGGATAGAGCAGTCCCCAGGCAATTCCTTCAATTATCTTCACCCTCATCTCCCAGGTTAGGTCCTTGGATCTAAGTAGATCTTCTAAGCAGACGCAACATGATTAGATCCACATTCTTGAAACACTACTAGCTTAAGGTAAGATTCGTGAAAACCAATAAAATAGATAGTCCGTAGAAAATGATAAAACAAACTGATGGGACAATATTTGTTATAATGGATAGCATCACGAATTGGAAGAAAACCAAATAAAAATTTGTCGAGGCTTTTGTTTGGCAGAAATTCATTTACTAACAGCTTTTCTTACGCTCGCAAGGAGTAGCCCACCAATCTTACCAAATTCCGATGATGGAGTTTTTCCAGAAAGGAAATCTCATTCTTAAGTTCTCCTATTTCTTAACCTGAGGTCGTTACAAGTCTCTTCACTGCTATTAGTTGCCCATCAGCCAACACACCCTGCATGAATGATATGAATACTAATTAATCTGTAATGTAGAGACCCAGGATCAATGAAAGTTCGCAGAGGATATGGCCTTAGTTGAGATGATAATCCCCAAAATTAGATCTAATTTGCAATGGTAGTCTAAGGAAGCACAAATTATAACTACCTTAGAACGTATAAGTAGGTTCAATAGCATGACAGTAAAAAGTCAGATTTAATTTATTAGTTTACGTTGTGAACAACACCAAACCCTCCTTATGAGGCTTGCTTTGATTGGAGAAGTTCATTGTAGCAAGCTTTAAAGTTTCCAAACCAAAATTTAAGAAGTCAGCTTGATGGAAATCATTCTTGCATCTTCCATACATGGGACATAACGTTGATAGAAAATCAACATAAGTCAAAATATATAGTTACTGGGAAAATATTTGAAATTTCACTACACTTAAATATATGAACCCATTTGGTATTAGATCTGTTTTAAGATTAAATGATGGCGTAAATGGTTCACAACTTAACAATTGGTTTTGTTCGCCTTTTCCTCTGTATGCAAATCCATATGGGAGCCCGAAATGAGAAAGAAACAATGAGCCCCACGGCCATTGCCACAGCTACCGTAAGAGTGTTGCTTCTTTAATCTGCCAAAGAAGGTATAGACGGTTTATGATTCACGTCAGTTAACTTTTTCCTTTTATTTCTTGTTTCACTTCGCTACGAAAGAATATTTTTGGTACTGTAAAAAAAAAAAAAAAAAAAACTGACTTTATTTCTTTATATATATTTTTTAATAAATTGATCGAATGGAGCCTGTCGGTATGAGTATGATGACAACCGAGAGCCATAACAGAAAAAGAAGAAAATTCACTACTTAAAAAGAAAAAGGGTCCGTCCCAAGCAGCAGGTAGTTTAAAAGGGTCATGTCCAAGTCACTACGCTTTGAGGTTTGCTTGCAAGTTTATTTCAAAGTGCTTGCTGAAAAAATGGTGAAATGACGAAGCAACATAGTAACAAACTTAGTTTTTACCTCCTGGAGTGGTGGTCCCGGCGGGCGTCGGAGAGGTATTATCTACTAGAGGTGGGGGAGGAGACGGCGGCGGGTCGGCAGCTGCGGAGGCATTAAAGAAGAGATGCACCTGGTACCGAAGGTAGCAGCTGCCGTCGATCACTCGCCCTCTCTTTCGCCTTACAGCACTGGATGATATAGCTGTTCTCGTTTCTCAGACAAGCGTCGCAGCTCTCCGGCCCTAAATCTCTGGTACACGGGACAAGCGCGAATATCGTCTCGAAGT